CATGAAAGCATCATCACAGAATCTGTCTGGTGCCTGTAAAGCTTGAATTTGGGCTCAGGAGTTACAAATGTTAGATCTGGTAAATACAGGCCAGCCAATGCCTGACTGAAAGAATGAACTACCACTGCAATCATTCTGAGATAAGACTGTTTAAGCTCTTTTTGAGGGAATTAGTTGGTGGAAGAAATCTCAGGTGTATTTTAGTTGGAAGCAATGAGAATGAAACATGATGGTTCAATAGTTGTTGGATGCAGATGGTTGTTTGGAATAAGATGCACAAGATACATGTTACTTTAAATTTTTTTAAAGTGTATGAATCGTCATGGAAAAACTGTTTGGTAATGCATACATGCAGCATTAGCATAGCTCAGATCCAGTAAACACAGTGAACGCTGCATCCACAACAGTAAGCCCAAACTGCAGAGGAAACAGACTTTGGTGGTGAGAAGTGAATGATAAAACTGTGGTAGCTTTCACTGACATTCAATACCATCTATTTATTGGTGAATGCATTAATTACAATAATTGTCTCTGGATGTGTATCTGCACTCTATCCTCACCAATTAAAACCATGAGTAGATATCAAAATGAGACCAGTGAGAAAATATGAAAGCCTACTTCACATTCAAAAGTTTTAAGAAAGACTTTTAAGATGAAACAGAAACAGGAAGTCATATCTTTTAAATCTTACTTTGTGGTGCAACTAGAAGAGTGGGTGTTGAAGAACAGAACAGCAATCATCTGATGAACAGCTGCAATCTATGCTAAGAAGATCACTGAAACCCATATTAAATTGAAATATTGGAGGCCATTTTAAAACAGATAAATTCTGGTGTGCTTTTTTGGATTACTGCTTTATCTGGCAACTTGATCTGTGCATATAATTCCATATTCACCAGTGATCATCATGGGTGAATTTGTAGTTTGATAACACATAGGGATGAACCCCATCTAACCAGTTTCAATGCAGTAACTGTAGTGCCCCTGACACTCTTCTTACACTCTTCTTACAGCATCTGATAAAGTTTTACTTAAGACTGGCTTCATTTCCTTTTTGTTTGTTTTTTGAATTTTTTTTTTTTTTTTTTAGTATGTAAAGGAAAAGTCAGGAAGAATGGGTACTACTGGAAATATTGGATCCACAGGTTTGTAGTTAAAATCATGCAATAAAGTGGAGGGCTTCTTGCTCTACAGGGCTTAATTTTAACTTACAAATACAAAGATCGACTGCCCTTCTGCAAATACACAAGTAATGTATTTTTGACACTGTGTGTCCTAAGTATTCCTAAGTCAATTTGTCAGCATTTTTCCCTGATTTACAAAACTACTTATCAAAACCTTCAAGTTTTCCCTTTCTTCCTATAGATAGATTCATCACAACATAAATATCATAGCTTTAAGAGGGAAAGTATGTGAAATATTCAGCCATTTTCCTTTACCCTTCCAGGAAAAAACCTCCTGTGTTTTAGCTTTCAGAAAAATCTCTTCATTCTGCTGCAGTCTTCCATCCTCTCCAGATGGTAAAAAAAACATTTTTTTTTTTCCTATAATCAGTAAACTTTGAGGAAGCAGTAGAAGACCCTGTTGAATTTCCATCTGCAGTGACTTCCACTCCCTCATTTCATTCCTCTCCTCCCTGTTTCATTTTATACCCTGGAAAAAACAATACTTACTTTCATACCTCAATTCCTGACATGACCTTGGTATTACAGTGGAATCTCTGGCAGGCCTGGTGGTATGAGAAGGAAGATTTGGGGGTAGGAGAGATGTATTCATCAAGCAGACTGCTATGTCAAAGAAAGATGCTGCTCTGGGATGAATGGCCAAATAGAATATGCTGTTGCTGAATGTAAGCAGGAATCTCAGACTTCATATTTAGCATTTTACCAGACTTCAGAATAACACAAATTTTAGCATTTCCAAAGGTCACATGGTATGAGGTTTTAAGTGTAGCTCACAGGTTTTAGGGCAACAAAATTATTAGAATTAAAATAGCTTTTTTATTATTTAAGTAAAAAGGAAGGTCATTGATAAATGCAAACAAATTAACTTTCAAGCACTGCACTAGACTTCAGCAATTCTTATATGACATTCAATTTCACATAGGAGCTGTTCAGCACACTCAGGATTGATACAATTTTAAAGTTGCCTGTCATATAAGAAAATTAAGAGCAATGTATGTTTGTAGGCTCTGAAGACAGGAACTTCTCTCCCTAATCTTGCTAGTGAATTTGATAGAAGGCCAGCATGTCAAGAGTTGTCCATCATGTTGCTCCTACCTGCTCCAGACTCATGGTGGAACAGTTGGCAAGTCCCAAGTATTCACTGCCTCTGTGTCACACACCAACATCCCCAGAAAGCATTTTGCATTACTGGATGACTATCCAAGCTTGCAGGGTGAATTTGGCTTTTACTACAGAATTATGAAGAAAGAATGCCATAATACTGATCCAGCCACAATACCACCACTTTGAGGTATAATGCCACCACATAGGTATAAAAGGAAGTATTCAGAACCCCTTCATAGGGATTTGATAAGAAAACTCGCAATGAACTCCGACAGGATTTGTAAGACAAAGTTGTTTGTGAATCAAAATGTCTGTCAGTGACACTGCAGCCATATGTTTCCTTTGTGTTTACAACTCACCTATTCACCATAACCTCAATTCTTAACTACAGATCCCTCTCCCTCTGCGCAATTTACCTGTCTGTTAAGACAACAATCACTTTCTCTAAATAAATGTCGGCAAGGTTGATTTTTACTGCATGTATAGCTGGTCACTTCTGAAAAGCATTTTTTATATGCTGCATAGGTTAGTACATCCCTCAAAAAAATTTAGTAGTCACATCTGCAGTTTGACTGCTTCTTTCTAAAAGACAAACCCAGGCCAAGCAAGACAAAGAATCTGCTGATACACACATGTCACTCCAAGAATTCTCCTGACAAAGTTCCCACACCCAATTTAATTACTTCCCTACTGTAAAAACACTTTCCATCTGCATTTATTGTAATAGTTTCAAATCCAAAACTAACAGACTATAAAGCTAGCTAAATAAATGAATGATATTGGCCCTAGGTCCCAAGCCAGGAGCTATTCTGTAAGGCTGTGTTTCTCCAGCATTCATTTTTATGCTGATGTTTCATTTTATGCGCAGTGTTTTCACTTAAGACTTGTTTAGAGAAGAATTACCTTGCTCCAGGCTCTGAAGTGTGTTGTGCCACACAGAGCCCTCTAGTGCTGCTCCAGCCCAAGGTCTGTCAGACATTTCCCTCTAAGACTAAAAGTCACATTGCAACCAAATAATCCCACTTCAGGCTGTATACACAGCACTGCATATACTCAGGTTTGGAACACTAATTTCAACTCTGTCTGTTATAAACTCCAACTGAGGGTGCAGAGCTCAAAATGAAAAGTGTTTCTGTTGAAAAATGCCCTTCAAAAAATAAAACTACCTGACTGACTATTTGTAACATGGGTTCTCTTGCATGTTTAGGAGAAAAAAGTATCTTATTCCTCAGACTCAGCATGAAGAATTTAACTATAGCTTGTAAGAAATTTTCTGATGTGCAGAGATAATAACAGTACATTGCATTCTGGGTCCTCAGATTTGTTGCGGTTTGTTTTCATCACACTTTGATGAAATTACATCAGACTGGAATTCATAGTTTTTAAAGATACAGTAGATACTTGAGATACAATAGATCTGGGCAATCACAACACTTTAAACTACACACATATGAGTGCTATGCACATATGAGTGCTATACTAAGCTGAGATTCTCCATGGTGTCAAAATACTCAGAAAGAACTTGACCTTTATAATAAATTTTAATCCAAAGTAGCAGCACAGAAGATATGTTTTTCATTTACAAGTTATGAGTACTGAAGGGCAAAGTAGGTTTCCACTTAAGTCCACGTCAAGACTGCTACTGACTATGCTGAAAGCATTCTTGGATATTGAACATCTCTTCCCTTTTCAGTTCTAACCAAACTAAATGAAAATACATATTAATAACAGATATGAGATAATCCAAGGAACTCAGATGGTGCACAGTGCAGCTCAAGGCATAGGTACTGTAATGGCCTTGGATATTCCAGGTGAATCCCAGAGGATCCTGCTGCAATAATTAAGGAATATAGTTAAGATACAGGTAAGGATTTGTTTAGGGGGCAAACCGTAAATTATTTAACTTTTCTGAGTTTTAGTGACAGTTAGTGATATATCAGGCTTATTTTGTGGCTCTCCCCTCACAATGAAATGCTTCTGAGCTTTTATGACACTGAAATAGTCTTCTTCACAGAACCAAGACAAAGACAACAAGGAGCACTCACTAAATATTGAAGAAAACTATCCACCAGTTTACTAACGACCAGGAAGATGCACCTCTAAAACAGCTACTACTTCACTTGCTCAAAAATCATCCATACACATACATACATATGCAAAACATGGAAGTTAAATCCGTTTTCTTTTTCCCATGTACATGATATTAGAAATGACTGTGCTGGAAAGGAATGTATGGCTTCTTTCCAGCTTATGAACACAGCATGTTTTTCACATGTGAAAACAAAATGAAGTTTTGGTAAGGGCAAATTTTCCCAAATAAATAATTAGTTTTCCACACTGGAAATAAACTATATTTTCAATAAACTTCAAAACTCAGATATGTAGAAAGGGATAACTGAAGAAAGTAAGATCTGATCACACAGATTTCCCTGCACTATTTAGTAGTTGGGATTTTTTATTTTTTAATTGAATGTGACTATCCAGTGTTCTGCCATCATCTAAACTCAACAACCCAGACTCTAGGCTGCATCTTTGACCAGGAAAAAGGAAAAAAACCCTTTTCCAGAGTGAAAACCATTACAACCGATCCAACCACTCATTCTTTGCAAAATGTGGCTCCAGGGCTCTGATGTTACAAATCCACAGCACAGCTCAGCCTTGGTCTCTGCCACTGCACCACAGTCAGTTGATGTCGGCCCTCCAGCACCATACCTGGGATTCTGCGGCTCTGAACCATCGGACTCTGGACACGGCTTCTTTACCTGCAGGAGCAAAGCAGTGCTGGTTACTCTCACTTGGAACACAACTTCCTCTTGCACCCCCCCATCCCAGCATGACTTAAAGCGGATCCTGCCCTGCTCACTGGGATCTCTATAAAATATTTCCCGCACTTTACAGCAGTGGTTTGCTGTACTAAACAGTGTGTTTCATTATTATCCCATGAACAGCTGCCAACTGCACTTCCCCAGGCTCCATTAGTGGGTTAAATGTTCAGCTAAAATAGCTTGGGGAGTAGTCTTAACTAGGAACAAAGAAACCAAAGAACCAGGTTCCCCTCTTTGAAATGAGAAAGCCATACTGTTCTCAGCTTGGCCAAGAAATGTTTCCCCAATTGATACTGCTTCTGTTTCCTGCTAAAGCTCAAAATAATAAACACCAGGTTCTGGGGCAAAGCACACCATTAGTTAAATAATTCATATGGTATTTTTAATTTGGTGAATCTGCTAACTGAATGTTAACAATAATTTCCTATTGCATCAATGAATACATGCACTGTTTTTACTCATACTTGCAATACGTAAGTACATAAAAGGAATTTTAGCTTTCAATTTGATCTCCACAATGCACTGCTGTAGGCTGATTGGAGGTGATAAAATCTATCACTGTCAAAATAAAATTAGAAAACTGCTCTCTTGCAGATTAGGTATTTCTTTGGGATCTTCATGATTTCCAGAAAAAATTTAATTGTACCTTCTGGTGATCTAAATTACTTGCATTTTCAGCCAAGGAAAAAACATTTTGCTCACTAGCTTGCTAATGCAAAATCCAGAGCTCTGTGGGAGGTTTCGAAGTTCCAGTTTTAAAGCCACCTAGAAATATCACTCACTGAGGCTCACTTGGTGTGAGAGACACAATAAAAAAACCCATTCCCTTTACAACCAGCAAGTTCAATGACAAGTTTCAGGATACCTTGCATGAAGAAACTCTTCTATACTTTTTTGCTACTTTAAAAGTATTTCAGAGAAAAAAATCTGACTTTGACTTACTTCTATTGAAGTTACTGACAAATGACAAAACTCTCACCTAGCCAAACAGAAAAAAAGGACTAGACTAATGCTAAATATTATATATATATATATATATATATATATATATATATAAATTCCCTTAGCTCGATGCCATGGAACATCACTCATAGAGATGAGCCCTTCATAGAGCCTGACAGGCAGTATTTCATAAACATTCAGGTGCAAATATCATTGCTATAGTTGTATGTTACCCACATTGTTATTAAAGTAGCATAACATATGAAATACAGTAAAATACTTCAGATATAAAAGCATATGACCATCTACCATGAAAAATGCCTTCAGTATGCTTTATATACAAACATGAGGAATAGTTAATCAGATTACTGTACTGTTTCCTGAGTGTCAGTGGCAGAGGGAACCGTTCAAAAGATATATATAAAATAATTTAAAGACACTGAAATTACAACAGCCTCTCCCTGACAGGACATGTTTAATTTCAAGAGCAGTTTGTCTCAACTAAGTTACAGAGATTTAACCAGAAAAATAATATTTTCATTTTGCATATAAAATATAATTTAAAATTATTGAAAACATAATGTATTTAGAGCTATAAAATACAATAACATAAGTAAAAATAATTAGAAAAATAAGTATATGCCTAGTAGCTATATAGTATAAACCCTGGTAGATCTTCTTTTTCCATGTCCCATTAGCATACACTCACATAATATTTTTCTTATCTCCTTGCTCATAAATTTACTGGCATTTATACATTCCTTTCCAATTTCTTTTCTGTTCTGTAGCTGCCACCAGTAGCACTGTCTCTCACATTTGTACTGGGGCTCAGATCTCACTCCCCAGGTCAGAAGAGGTCAATGACTCACGTTAATCAGCTGCTGGAGAGTCTGTCACCTAGACACCCAACACCCTGTGCTGGGCAGCTACCACAGAAGCCCAAAGATACTTGCAGCACACATTAACATAATCTGAGCACTTTTAATATACAGAATATATTAAGACCCCTGGTTTTCCTGTGCAGGGATGTGAGATGTAGTAATCAGGTACTCACAGATGGGTTTTCCTACCATAGCTCACACTACTACTGCATTCTGTTCTGACCAACATTACAAAGCAATCTAAATATCTGAAAGATTATGCTTTATCCGTATAAATTAATATTAAACATTAAATTAACATCAAACATTAAAAAAAAAGAACTAAAAAACTACCAACAAAAACCCTAACTGATAAATTTTGATAAAAGTTGAAAGGTCATAGCAGAAAAGCCACTAACTAATTGTATCAAAACCACTTACTTCCTGTGTGATGTAACCTGGGAAGAAAAAAAAAGTGAGTATTTTTTATTTAAGAATATTGCAATGAAAGCAAAATTCTTAAACAGTGAGAATATTTGAGTTTTGTCACTTGGCATATAGATGATGCAGTTCATCCATGATCATTATCTGAAGAAATGTGCAGAAGCACAGAGTATAGATTTGGCTTTTCCTCTGAGATTAAATGTAAAATTAATTGTGTATCTTTAGGGTCCCTTTTTGAAAGAAAATATTTAATAAATAAAAATGTTATTTCTTAAAGGATGAATAGGCATGGGATTTTCTTTCAAGTGGCCATATGGAATGAACACCATTTCTCTTCAAGGCTACTCAAGTAGCAAAACAAATTCTGTTATTCATAAAATTATGCCACCCTTGAAGGTGAACAGAAAATCACTGTGAAAATGTCTGATCAAAGACTAAATATTGTTTCCTTTGTCTTCAGCTGCACTGTTTTACCTCTTAATTTGCCTTGCTGACTGTTTTCAAAATAATTAACTTTCACTAACACCACATTTATTTACATTCTCATGTGTTAAATGCTATAAAAAGAACTTTTTCTCCTTTACTCCTGCTCTGTTTTCCTTTCCCCCCTTTCTGTTTACACAGGTTTTCTCACCATTTTAGTTAAATGCATGTTGAGAATCATTCACAAGAGTAAGATTCAAGTTTCAGTTTGAATTCTACTGAACTGCACTGAACTTTCATACTCTGGTTTACTGCTTCAAAATGTTTGAAAAGTTTCAGCTAAAAACCTTTAAATACAAAGATTTGTGAGAACAGATTGTTGTGTTCATGGTTTGAATGTCACGTCATTGTGCTGCTGATTGGCTTCAGCACCTGAGAGTTGGAGGCAAAATCCCAAAACTGAAAGGGGGGGAGAGAGTTACAAATACCCAGGAATTATAATTTCTGTGAAATAGTATCCACATTTACTTCGGTTTGTAAAATTCTAAAAGACCTGTTGTCACAATGTTGGTGAACTCCTGATGGAGTCTGGCTCCTGAATTTCTCAAGACTCTATCTACATTGAATACTCTCCATCTCAAAGGTGCTGGTTCTGAGCAAGCCTTAGGATTACTTCTGAGTGCCAGGAGAATCCCATGCCATCAGTAAATTTGACACTATCAAAACTATCCCTCTTTGCTTAGTTAGTTCCATCTCCCACTGTGCAGTACCCTGGGTACAGGGTACCCAGGCAGTACCTTGTGACTCCCTTCAGAATGAAGGGAGGAAAAACAGAAAAAAAAAGAACAGGGAGAGGGAACAGAAATCAGGGGACAAAAGAAGAATGGGCTCTCCAAGGTGGCAAAACTAGAGGACAGGAGAAGCCAAATGAAAAACAAGTGACAGATGTAGGGGTGTGGTGTGGACAGCAGAAGAACACTGGCTGAGATGGAACACCACAGTTTGCTCTCCTCTCTTCTAGATGTGGGACTAACACCACAAACACAAGCCTGAGCACTCATCAGACACCTATGAAACTCATTACAAAAGTCACTAGTGACCAGTCTGCCCAGAGCAATGGACTAGTTCTGCTACTCCAGCTATACAGAAGACTAATTAATGATCCAAGCTGGGAAAATATACTTTGAACTTAGAAGATTTTGTATAAATGTCACTTTTATGTAGAAAAATGGAAGTCTGATTTGGCTTAAACTTTTATTAAAATAATCAAAGTTTTCTACAATTTCTACCTTCACCTGACTTGGTTCATCAGCATTCAAATATGAACACTGTTAAAATTGCCTGATAATTTGAGGTCACTGTGAAAAAGCTAGGCATTTTTTAGGTAGTGAAGAACTGCAATAAAGGTATATGATAAATATTTACATGATGAAGGATTTTATAGTAATTGGGCTTTGGATGCTTCATGTTTTAAAAAGACAGAGGGAGTAACATTAAAAGAAAAACCTAACTATGCATTCACTGGAAAAAAAGACACCCCCTGGAAAGCCTAGGATGTCAGGTAATAAGATCTGCACCATAATATGTAAGAAGCTGAATTTCCACAGGCCATATTAATTCTGGCATTTCCTTGCTTCTGATGTTTTTCTTTGCAACATTAACATCTTTTAACATGATTTTATTGGACCCCATTACACTAAATGTTAAACCATTAAATGGTCCTGCTCTATGAGGTGTTCTCACACACACACACTGGTGGTATTAAACTCGTAATGCAACACAGGTGAGAAATCCCTTCTAACACTTACAGCTGAAAAATCTTGCCACATCAGCACTAAATTATTCTGGCAATGAATCTGCTGAGTTCCCTCATCTACTGCACCAATTAAGGCCTTGAGGATCCCTCCTAAATCAGTAGGGTTGCAACAGGGCTGAGTAGAGCCTGCAATGCTTTGGACCTGGAGGAAGCAGTTATGCATGGTGGAGCTGTGGAGACTCTAACATCAAGGAGACAAGAATGAAGAAAGAAAAGTACTTCTTGCAGACCCACGAACAACCTCAAATCACATCTTCGTGCTTCCTCAGTCTGTGTGATTGCTCTGGAGTATGGGCAGGGCAAGTGCACTTTGCCTCAATGACTCCCTACAGCAAATTGCTCTGGAGGAAGTTGACCCATCTCTGCTCACCGTCCAGGGAAGGGACCATGTCTGTAGAACAACTCCAGGAGAGTGACACAGGCAGGGAAATAACTTGACGGAAATACCAGGT